TTTGACACCTTTGCTGTAAATAATTTTAGCTTCGATAGGGTTTTGGTTTTTACTATACTGCCTGTTTTCATGGTTTCTGTAAGCATTAATCTCCTTGTCTTTAAAATGGAGAAAGTATTGCACATACTACCTATTTCACAGGTTGTTAAGAGGTAAGTGCTTTTTAAAACCTGTAAAAATGTAAATTATTTTCACATAAGCATTAGATAAGGAAACTGAGACAGCTCAATTGGAGATGGGAGTGCTCAGGTTCTGAGGTGATAAGTTGGGGAACTTTTTTCTCCTGTGGGTACATGTACAGACACACAGCAGCCTAGCCCTACTCTGGCCCCAGGCACGCATTTGCCCAAAGGGCTGGGGCACTGCTGAATTCCTCTGAAGCCATTCAGATTTTGCCTATTCCCTCTCACCAAGAATGGCCAAGTGTACCCTGACGGTCACTTCTGAGAAGCTGGTTTTGAGGCAACATGGAGGCTGCCAAACGAGAGAATCCACCGGGGTCCCCAGAACTGCTCTCTGGAGGGTGCACCTAAGTTACCCTTGCTCTGAAGAGGCTGTTATGGTGAGCAGGAAGTTTGTTCTAATCGCTGGCCTCCTTGTCCAGCCTGGTCCTAAAGAGGGCCCCTTCTGTGACGTATCAGACAAGATGTCATCTGGTCTTTTGAGGACCTCCTCTAGGACAGAATTCACTGCCTCCTCAAGGACAACTACTGTACCTTGCAGGTCACTTCTATTGTTGGGGAATTTTCCCTTATCCCAAACCTAAATCTCTCCCTAGGACCTTCCACTCTTTGCTCCAGGTTCTGTCTTGTGAGGCTATGCAGAACACACCTTTTCCTCATGACATCTCAATTATTTGAAGACAGTTATTACACCTCTTTTGGTGTACTAGAAAAAAAGACTGAATTCAGTCAGAAGCCCTGGCTCTGCCCCTTAAGCAAATCACTTTCCTGGGGCTGTTTTTTCATCTGCAAAGTGGGGGTGGTGGGGGATCAAGACTTGCCCCACTTTCATCACAGGGTGGTTTGTGGGGCAAGCACCTTGTACTTTCTCTGTAATGTGAATGATAAACCTGGAGCCCCGGAACCAGTTATAGGGCACACAAAACTCTAACTGTGATTGGGGTGGGGGGTAGAGTAAATTCTGCTGGCAGTTATCCTCACCTGTCTGCCTGCTCCTCGTGCAGGGCACCTAGGTGAGCCAAATACACATGAAAAGACTTTTCTGGGAAGCAAGAGAGAGCTATGGCAGCTGCCTCTTGGCCGTGCCAGAGATGAATACAGAATGAGTTAAGGTGTGTGTCGGCTCCTATCTTTGGCAGAAATAAAAGCTCAGAGGTGCTCCTGGACCTGCCACTGTGGTTTGACCTGATCTGAGCTTGTCCGTGTCTGCGATCTGCTGCCTCCTCTCTGCTGATTACTGCAACTTCATCCACTAGCATGAGTAATTATAAATGCATTGACAGGGCTTGGGAGGAAAGGAACTGGTCATGCTGACTGTGGGTTGGTAGTGGACACTCATGTCGGAAAAGACACTGTTCAGCACCACCTAGTGGACAGAGATACAAGTGCAGATAATCAGACCCAGTCCGATCAGCGCAGGGATACCCACACTTAAAAATTTTGTCTCTTCCCTCCTCCCCTTTCCCTTCCTCCTCATGCCCCCCAATAAGTCAGGGGACAACTCTGAAAGTGAAATATTTCTCTGTGCCAGGCAAGGCAGGGGTGGCAGCTGAAAATCATACTGAATTTTTAACTGGTACCTGTGTTCAAATAATCAAATGACAGAGGCCTTGATTTTCGGTCCGAAGACCTTGGTTCAAATCTCTGCTCCACAGGTCACTACCAGATGGTGTTACTACATCATTGCACTGGGCCTGTGTTCTCATCTGTAAAATGAGAGGGTTGGACCAGATAACTTCTGAGGGCCCTTCATGCTCTCTAACCCTAAGACCCCATGACTTCCCAAGCAGTCGTCCTAGAATTGAACTGAACTTGGAGGTTGCCCCGATTTTCAAACTGGTCCTTGGTGGTCCCCGATTTGAAACGCCTCTGTAAGTAGCTTAATCAATGTGTACAGTGTCTGGCCAGGCACTTGGGAAATGAAGTCTTCAACTGCTGAAGTCCTCCTTTATTCTGCCCAGGATGGGAGCTTTCCCAAGCAGTATGCCAGCTGTGAGAAGTTTGATAATGGAGTGTTTGTGCCATACAGACAATGTCAGAGCAGAAGCAGTTGCCTATGAAGAAAATGACAGGTTGTACAGAATTCTAATTTACATTTTTACTTACCTATTGTTCACACTGTTAAGATAATTGACTATAGAAGGAATTAAAACTGTTAAATCAAACATCCTAAATACGAGAGACTAATAAAGCAAAGGGGGTAGGCCCACTGCTTAGTTTCCTAGGTCAAAGGCAAAAAAAGGGGACTCTACCATGGGCATTTTATTTAATCGCACATCATTACTTGCGTGACACTTTGACAAGACAGTTTCTAGAGCCCAGTGCCCGGGGCAGTCTTAATGACTCCCTTTGGAGCAGGATAATCCCATTAATTGGTACTCAGTCGATTGGAATCTATAACCTCCTGGGGCTTTTGCTGAAGTCTCAGTCTGGGCTACTGAAGTTGAAAAAGTAAATATACAACTGTTCACCAAGACCATTAGTTGCATAATTGCCTTACTGAATACCCAAGTTGAGAATCAGGGTAATTTAATCACCCCTTTAGTAGGAAAAGAGCCTACCTGCTAGTTTTGAGTGAAGTAGGTTTAATCAAAAGGAAAGGTGAGCATTTGGTCAGTCAAATAAGAAAGCTGGAGTCCAGAGATCCTCCCCTTTTGGAGAAGGTCCACATAGCTTGCCCTAAGGAAGCGAGACATCTCAAGCCAACACATGAATTTAAAATACAGTTTCTTTCCCATGACACTGACTAGCAAGGGAATAAAGTGAATGCCCATTCCCCCCATCCCCCCCCTTCTACGCACTCTGCAGAATTCAGCTCAAAGCCTTCACAAAGCTTTCCCTGACTTAGCACAAGGAGTCTAGGACTTATTTTCCATATTGTTTATTTGGGACTTAGCACGTTGCCTTTCTGGGGCAGTTAGCTGGCACTGTGGTTAGAGCACTGGGCCTGGAGTCAGGAATAATCCTCTTCCTAAATTCAAATCTGGCCTCAGGTACTTACTAGCTGTACGACTCTGGGCATGTCACTTAACCCTGCTTGCCTCAGTTTCCTCATGTGTAAAATTAGCTGGAGAAAGAAATGGCAAATGACTCCCTATCTTTGCCAAGAAAACCCCAAATGGGGTCATGAAGAGTCAGACATGAATGAAATAGATTGAACAACACATTGACTTATATTGTTAATGTCTCAGAGTTGAAAAGAGCACAGGAGTTGGACTGGATCTGAGTCTTGTCTGTTGACTCCTTTACCTTTTTAAGCCATACAGTCCTCACCTGAAAAAAAAGGTTGGACAAGAACATTTCAAAGGTTCCTTCTAATTCCAAATCCTATCAACTTCTCTCCAACTGAACTGCCGCCTCCTTGAGGGCAGGGATCTCTCCATCCTGGCATATGGCCTTAAACGTAATAGACACTTAAATATCTATTGCCTGCTGTCCACTGAAATGATGAATCAATGGGAGGCAGGTCTATTCCTGAATTCTAAGTTAGCGTTTCACATGCAGAAAACAGCTACTATGACAATATTACAACTTCTTGGTCTTCAGAGCGCACGAGGATACACTGGCAAAGCTGTTTAGCAGAATATAAACTTCTGGAGGTCACTTCCATTTTTTTTTTTTTTTTGCCTTGGTAGCGGTTCAGTGTCTTACACAAAGCAGGTGATAATCATCTTGTTGGTTGATTAACAACCATTTGTTTAATTAGTAAGGGATGAGTGTACAGTTTAAGACTAAATATATGTTAAGAAAAGATTAGAAGAAAATGAGAATTCTTGTAAAGCCATCACAAGGTCAAGGTCACAATGAGCATCTTCCTTCCCGTCATTAGTTTCTGTGGGCTGCTGGAGTGATGATTTAAATGGCAGTACCAAATGCTAAACTGCTTCTGCTAGAAGGCACACAGTGGAACAGACATCTCTGTGGCCCAGTGACTCTGCTACTTCACCTCCACTTTATAAATAAAGCACTAAACTCCAGATTAACTGCTTTCCAGCAAAAGTGTTTGAAAAGAGTAGAAGAAATGGCTATTCAAAGGAATTCCATGGTAAACACTTTCATAGGTGAAAGGGGGCATTCCCTAAATGTGTCTATTTCTTAAGCCAAAATTTCTCATATCAGGTTTGCCTGGACTGATGAACATCTTATTTTAGAAAGTACTAACAACTTTCACATGGAATCACAGATTCTCAGAGATGGAAGGGCCTGCTATATTATCCAATTAATGGCCTTTACTTGAACACCTGAAGTAAAGGGAAGCTCAATTTTTTTCCTGTGATGAGCCAACAAAAAAGTCTAACTTCCAAATGTATAGAAGACTTTTATTTCCTCTTATGCCTTTGTTTTAATGTATCATCCAAACAGAGGCCTACTGGCCTGAAGGAAATAATTCTACATCAAAGTGGAAGAAGCAACTATAAGCCAAGGTTTGAAACACTGTATAAACCTAATGCCAGAAAATGAAATGTCCTAACAGGTCACAAATGCTAGAAGTCTGCCTCAACCCTGTAAACTGCCATGGGTAGAAGATATAATTCTTCTAAGCTTTTTGGCTGAAAAGGCCCTGTTTTGAGATATATCCAAGTCACTTAGCACAGCATACCATGCAGCAAGAGAGATGGGGATTTGCTTCTTCAGCACAAGAACTGTCTTTTATCAATGCCTATTAAACAGAGTTTACATTTTTCAAGAATTCATCCCCTGGCTACAACCCCTGGCCACCCTGAAAACCCCAAAGAATAGGCAAAAATCTCAATAAGATGTGAGACCTTCAAAGACACACACAGCAATGACTGATATTGGAATGTAACACACAGGAAGAAAAGTAAAATTACAGTGATTTATTGCTGCTGTATCTGTTTTCCCAGTATAGCTATTATTTTACAAGTAGCCACAAAGTGCCACCTTCTGGTTTAAAACTATGCAACATCTCCTTTCAAATGCCATTTTACAGCGGACTCATCAAGCAACACAGCTGCAGTTACAAAATGTGGAGTAATTTTACGAGCTCAAAACAAAGATCTGTGTATAGGCTGAATAAAAATATGCTCAATTAACAGTGCACATTCTGTAACTTTTAACAAACATCTTTAGTTGGAAGATCTTTTGCAAATGTTAAAATAGATGTGACTCACAAAAATCAAAAGTAGAACCTCTTTTTTTTCCCCCATGTGTGAGATGGTTTGCATTCCTGCAAACTGTTTACAAAGTACAAGAAACATTGCAGGTAAAGGTTATGCATAAAAGGTTCCATTTTCTTACAGAAGGAGCTGGCAGAAGGCCCAGCAGGCTACAGTCCTAGCCTCTCCAAGGGTGGCAGTGGGAGCCTGTGTTACCCTTAAAATACAAGCACTTTCTGGTGTCCCTTATCCCCCCACCCCAACTTTGCAGTATAGAAAGCCTATATCTTCCTGTTTATCTTTACCCTTAGAATTATTTACAGGATTCCTACAGATACAGTACAAACTAGTATGAAATTAATGATAGTTTGCATTTCCAAACACGCTCCTGTGGCTAAATAAATATACCAAGCCAATCCCAAGGAATGGTTTTAAGTTAAGGTGACGCTGAAGCACTTGTATCTGTTACGGTAGAAACTGGCTTTTCGCTGGTTGGGATGGGTTCATTTGCTGTGTCTTCAACAGTAGTTGCAGCCTTTGAAGTGGGGGGAGGAGCATCTGAGGGAAGCAGAGAGGTTTGTTCTGCTCTTGTAGTGGAGGCTGGATCAGAAGGTAGGCTCCCTACTGGAGGAAGGGAGGACAGCAGCTCAGGCGTTGTCGAAGAAACCTCCGGGACCAAAGGGAACGAGGGAAGAAATTCTGATGGCATGGACAGCGGTGTGATTCCAGACAGGTTTAAGGGAGGCAAGGAAGGAAAAGGTGGCAAACCTGGAAGGAAAAAAATAAAAACTAATCCACAGAGGGCTTATGGCAAGTCTCAAATAAATTTAATAACGATAGACTGAGGTACAAGACTCCAAGAAAGACCAGTTTATTAACAGTAACATGTATAACTGTTAACAAAGTGGGTCAAACTGGCAACCTCAGTAAAGCCAGTGACCCCAGTGAAAAGGAGGGGACCCTGTTTACTGACACACAACAAACAAGGAGTACCGGTAGACATGGAGAAAAACTGATAGTTTGTAGGGTAGTGGCAAGAACATTAAGACTGGCTGTATGAAGAAAGGCGGTCTGGCATTCACGTGCAGCTCATCACCTCCCCTCCGATTATGAGACCCATCTTCGTCTTGTCATCTTTGCTAGGGGTTCAGAACTACAAGACTTGCTGTCTGTCCCCTTGGCACCGATTAAAAACTTCTCCTGATTACATACGACATAGGCAAGGACAGAGATATATCTTTTGGGGGTGGTACCAAGTTAACTTAAAGATAACACAAAGATGTCCAAAGTATCCTAAGGAAGTATCCTAAGGGCTAATGCTATGAGAGATAACAACTGTTCTTTTAATTACAACTTTAAACTAAGAGGGAAAGCTAAGTTCCTGAGCAAGTCAAGGACATAGAATGGGGACTTGGGTACATACAGAATCAATTATAATATGAAATCAACACAATACAGAATCAATTACAAAGTAGAATTATTTTGAATTTCCCACCATCACAAAACAAGAAAATTTGCAGGTCATTAAGGAAACAGGGCCAACATAATCCACAGCCCTTGTCTATCTTTAGCTAAATACCATGGATGATGATGATGATGATGCCTAGGAACTTATTCCTCCAATAAGCCCAGGACTCTTCCTCATGTGTGCCTCGCCAATAGGACAGGAAGAAGGAAACAAAAAACTCAAACCTTAGCCAGTTATTCAAACACAGTAATCAAACATAGGCATTTAAGTTAACACTCAATTGAGGCTGAGAGGTAGGTTACATTCACTTATGGAAGAGGTCACTCCAGAGTCCGAGACCACAGAAGCTGCCAGTATTATGGCCCAGTAGTAAATATTTCAATATTTCAAAGACCCATGACATCACAGAGGTGGGTTCAGCTTCCATCAACAAAGATCACAAACCCTCTACCCCATGGCAGATGGTCTTTGTGAGCTGCTGTGGCCAAAAAATTCTCCTAATTATGTGGTGGTCTGACCCTATGACCTTAGCCAGGCTGGCCTTGGGATGGGTGGTCTTTCCTACCTGATGCTCAGTGAAGTCTTAGGTTGTTTTTAAACCCCGGTGGCAGATCTGAGAGGGAGAATCTGTCTCTTTATCATCTTGGCAATGAAAAGTTCCATTTTCTCTTGTGGCTGGTATGAATTTCATTCCCCCCTCAAGCCAAGAATTTACCTCCCAGTCTATGGGAGCCATTTTCCATATGTCAGGGGTTCTGTGCGGAGGATACTACCTGGCACTGGTATGTCACATAACAACACTAATTAGAATATGGTGAAAAATTCAAAATGTCAGAAACATTTAAGCAACATAACTAGATTTTAAAGTTATTACAATTGTTATTATAAAAGTTAAAGTCATTACAACTGAAGTACAAAAATGGTAGTCATAATTTTTTAAAGTTTTACCAACACATAACCAAAATCACATGATCAGTTTGAAACTCAGGTAATTTGGTTACTCCTTGAGACAGACAATAAGTAGGATGAAGAAGTATAGAAATGTGCCCCATCTGAATGGGTTATAGATGGTTCTCAAAAATGCAACGATGCTGATGATGGTGAACATTTTCAATATTTACATCCTGAAGCAAAGAACTGTAATTCTATCAGAATTTTCATTCCAAATAAACAGAAGCATCATAGGAACATAGGCCTTGGAGCTGGAAAAGACCTTAATCTACCTACTTCCTTTTCTCCATTCTAAAGATAAGGAAACTGAGACCCAGATCAGTTACTAAATTCTTACAAACTTTTAAACGGTAATAACTTAGGCTGTAGGTATAATAGAAGTAATCTGTAAACAGAATTTAACAAGTAAATTTATGACAATAAACCATTCAACTGCATAAACATTTTATTTTATTTCAGAACCCCTGACAAATGAAAAATGGTTTTTATTTACCAGGAGATAAACTATTGGCTAGCAGGACTGAAATCCACACCATCCATAAGAGAAAACTGACTTACTCTCAAATTTACCACTTAAGTTACTGACCTGTAAAAAGCACAAAAGGATTTTACTTAATATCACGTAAATTCTTCTGAATCATCCCATAAGCAGAAATTAAATTTAAGGATATTTATGTTAAGTTAAAAAGAAAGGCATATTTTGTGATTAAAAAGCACAGGAAAGTAAATCACGTGTTACATATCTGCTACTCTCAATTATCCACATCTAAAGTAAGCTTAAGTGCTGGAATCTAGACTATACTTTAAAAAGAAACCATTATTCATTTGCTGGCAGAAAAAGTTTCTGTAGGTAGTTAATTAACTTCCACTAGGCTAGCCAGGAACCTCTTATTGTAATTTACTGGCATAAACATCATACCCCCATTTCTTGTGCCTAAAATAGCCACTTAGTAGCAGTGCCTGAGGTAGAAGAAGCATTAAGAAAAAAGATAGGATACATTTGCTTGCAGATCAAGGGAAGGTATTTTTCCTATACTCTTTCTCTCCCATGGTTGGGATTGGGGAAGGATGGGAAGAGAAGCCCCTTGAGGTTTGCAGGTCTGAGGAAAACTGCTGAATAGTTTAATTTGATAGCCTGTTCTAACACAGCTGAAATAGTTTGAAATGATTTGCTTTCAAGGAAAAACTAAGATGGAGGACCTTGACTATTTCTTGGCTCAAGAGATTTTGGGGGGAAAGGTGTTTCTAAAATTATTCAATACAGATTCAGTACATACCAGGATTCATAACTTCTGGTAATCCAGCTCCTGGAATTAACTGTGGTGCAGGTAGGTTGAGATTGGAGAGATTTGCTAGGTTGGGCAATCCTGCCGGCAAAGGCACCAGACCTGAAGGAAGAACCCCCCAAAATAAAGCAAGTCATTTTACCTGCAACAAGCTACACATCACAATAAAAGTTATCAGGAGTTTATTACAAGTTCTCCACAGAAGAGCATAACAGTGATGTCTCATTGTGGTGCAGGAGTGATTCTAGATTTTTAAAAGTTGTATGGATGCCTTTAAAAAAACATCATTGCTAATTCCCAATGATTCTGCCCCCATCCAAAAGGAGAACCCTCCCTCGTTAAACAAAAAACAAAACCAAATCCACAAACAAAATCTAACCCACAGTGGCCATGTCTGACCATGGACGCCTCCCTACATTTATATTCTCCTAACTATCTTGACTAGATGGGGAAAAGCATTATTTCCCTGTCAGTTCTCTGAAGTCACAATTAGTGACCCCGGGCTCCTGAAAGTTGCTGTCAAAACAAAGTAAAAAGCTCTGACAGACTCTAGCGTACTGGTGCACTAAGTAAGATCCCTGTGATAGGTATTTCTATTTCCTGAGGACTAATTAGCCTAGCTATGTACAGAGAGGCTCATCACCAGGAGGGCATGTGACTGGGCCCTGTTATAATGAGAAATTTGGAAGAACTCAAACGTCCAAAAATAGGGGTGGGAAAGTGCTTAAGCAAATTACAGCAGATTAGCATGACAAAAATAACAGGAATGTGGACTCTTGGTAGGTGGTGACATTATATGACATTTTAAAGGATCAGAACACTGAGAACTGAAATCTGTTAACAAGGATTATCATACATCTGTAACAGAACTAATCTGTATCCATGGATTACCACTATGTGAATAAATATAAATGCATAATGATTTTAGAATGGATATCCACTCCAAATTATCCAAATTAATGGATAATTTGGAGTGCCATAATTAAGTTTCATGCTCATTAGGGTTTTGTTTTTGTTTTGCTTTTTGGTAAAAATCTGCTTAAATTCATGTGAAAAAAAAAAAAGAATTACCATTCTTACTGTAGTAAATGTTCTTTATCCTTTTCTTTATTGATTCACATTGAGTGGCTTAATGGAAAGAACATGAGGTCAGGGATCAAGAAACCCAGGTTCCAATCCTTAATTTGCTAACCAGCCATGTGCTCTAACCTTTTTGCACCTGTTAATATCAACTGTAAAACAGGGTTAATAACTGTTCTGTTTCTACCACAAGACTTGAGGATAAAGTGAGATAAAAAGACATGAAAAGAAAAAATACCCTGCATTGTTATAAAATATCAGTTACTACTATTCTATAACAAAAATGTTGCTCCCCAAAATATATTGTGCTTTTAAAATTACCTGGTAATGTAGCTGCTGGGTTAACTGGTGGCACTGAACTGATGGACTGGTTAACTTTTGGTGGCAATAATGGTACTGTTGGTACACCTAAATACACCAAGGACACATTTTTATTTCAAATAAATTTGTTTAACCAATAAAATCAATGTGCTATAATACTTTATGCCTTCTGGATTTTTTTTTTTGCCTTTTTGATGAGGTAATCTGGGTCAAGTGACTTGTCCAAGATCACACAGCTAGTAAGTGTCATGTGTCTGAGGTCAAATTTGAACTCTGGTCCTCCTGGACCAGATAAGCTGGAGCTTATCCACTGCACCACCTAGCTGCTCCTGCCTCCTAGATTTTTTCAAGGTATAGCTTTTGTAAATCAAAATCTGTCTGAAAAACAGGCAGGCACTGGATAACAGACTGTGTACCTGTACATACTTAGGAAGGAGGAAAAGTAACAAATTCATTGATCTGCAAATATTGTTGGAAAAATAAACTATCAAAATGGCTATGAAAAAAATCAAAGTTAAAAATTGCTGGAGATACCAAAGAATTTTTGTTTACATGTATTCCACTTACTATGCCACCATATCAGAAATTAAAATCGATCATTTTTATTAATTCATTATAAAATAATAATAAACCCAATACATGTTAATATAAATGACAGGTTTTTATGAAAAGTAACTTTTCTAAAACAAAAACAAAAATTCATATTTAAGCAAGTCTCTTTAATGTCTGGCTTAATAGAAGACAGTTGTATTCTCATATCTGCTTCTGTGTTCAATATTATTTTGGTTGAAGTATATACTATGAAGAAAAACTAGCCTCATACAGATATGTAGTGGAAAAGGGAAGAGTGTTTTAATGGGCAACTAACATCTTAGCATTATTATAAACATGGTCTTGAACTCCTGAAAAGGTTCTGGGGATTCCCAGAGGCTTGTGGACCACACTTCATGAATGGCTGTCTTAAAACTTGGTCTTAAGGGACTGTATTTGTGCAATTCATTCTGCAATGTATAACATTCCCGCATAAAGAAATACACTATAACTGACTTATTTTTTTTTAAAGAGGAACAAAAGTACAAGACTACAAGATTTCTGTTTGTTGATGAGAAAAAAGCATTTGATTCAATGGAGCAAAACACAGTTTTACAGATTTTCTCCTCATATCTGTACTTTTTTATTTCAGAGGCCTCTTTTTTGTTGAAAGACGCTTCTCTTTTGAAAAAGTCGATGATTAGGCTAAGATCTGCAGGGCATATCATTTTAGGATGCAGCTGGAGTTCCCTGGCTTTTCAGGAATACACCATTCCATTCCCCTATGCAAACTGTCAGAGCTAAAGAATAAATCTGGATTATTTGAATTTCCCATTCTTGATGTCTGAAAGTCGTTCTACTGATCTCTTGCAAAATTTGTCATGATTGAAATCACTCAATTTAACAACTACGTAGCTTGGAGTTTGAAGCATGAATTTGGGTGTTTCTTTCTGGTGGCATTCTGTAGATTCTCCCAAATGATGCTTTGTTGTCTGTATTCTGAATTTACCAGTTCTGGGCGGTTTCCATGTATCATTTTTTACATTATGGTATCCTGGTTTTCCTGGTAGACTTATGTTTCTTAAGTTACATCTGCACTCCTGTCTTCTAGGTCAGTCATTCTGACTTGCATAGAATACATTTGATTCTTTTAACATTATTGCATCAATTTTTCCTAATCTGTAAACTGACTTTTAAAATCCTTTATTGAGCTATTCAGGGGGCGGAACCAAGATGGTGGAGTGAAAGCAGTGACTCGCTTGAGCTCTCCCCCAAACCCCTCCAAATACCCGTAAAAAAATGGCTCTAAACAAATTCTAAAGCAGCAGAACCCACAAAAAGACAGAGTGAAACAAATTTCCAGACCAAGACAACCTGGATGGTTGATCACAAACATATATTGCGCCAGGTAGGGAGAGGAGCTTAGTTTGGTGTGGCCGCGCAGGCCTCAGAGGACTGAATCGCAGGCAGCTGTGGCGGTTTCCAGACCTCTCAACCCACGAATGCCAAAGACAACTTAGAAGGTCAGTGGGAAAAGTGTGTTTCTGTGGTGAGAGGGTGAGAGAGAGAGAGAGAGAGAGAGAGAGAGAGAGAGAGAGAGAGAGAGAGA